ATATAACAGTGTATCGGAAAGAAATTCCCAAGCTCCTCTATCACCGAGAAAACCTTTTCTGTAACTTTTGATGTATGATTTTAATTTATGCCAAAGGTTTAGCCAAAGACATCCTTACTGTAGTTTCACCATTTCTGTACACATATGCTAACTGCACACCCCACCCCAGCAAACAGGATATAGGCTTCTTTCTAGTTGGGAGATGCTGCTCGTGACGTTTTATCCCAGGAGGATACTTTGGGTTTGTAGTTCTCTTACCAGTCTTATTTGGGGGAAATAGATGGTCTGTCTTTGAAATATTGAACCCTTTTTAAAAATGGACAAGAGAAATGTATAATTTTATCCCATTTTTAATATTTTGGTGTAGCAACTTGTGATACATAGATGACAATTTTGTGAGTTTTACTATGTGTGTACAGATTTTGTAAATATGACATTTTTGTAATTTTAACTCCATGTACAGCGTAATCCTGTATAGTTTATTGCCGAATGAGAGATAGGAAATAGAATGTTACTCCAGTTTTGGATCCTGGACCAGTAGCAGGGATAAATGTGGTGTGTGTGAGACTTTCTTTGCCATTTAGTCTTCCTGTATACTGTGATATTCTAAACTGTTTTGCTAAAACAAACAGACAAAAAAAAAAGCCCCATTGAGAATCTAAGGAATAAGGAAAAAGTTATTGTTTGCCTTTATCCCTAGGTGTCACTCCTGTTGAATCCCTGTTCAATCTGTGCTGTCTCCTGTGATCATTGCTTGCTAAGAAAATTCTATGCCTCAATCTTCCCTTTGTTTCCTCTCTAATTTTAATTTCATTTTACATAGCCCTTCTGTAAATTGAATGGAATAATAATGAGCATGTACACTGAAAGAAAAATAAAATGAGACTCTCAGTTACTGTTTTTGTGTTAAATACAGTTGCTGGGTGCTTTTGTAAAAAAAAAAAAAAAAAAAAAATCCTGGATGTTCTTGTTTTTTTTTTTTTTTTTTTCTTACCAATTAGTCCTCTTTGTTTTATCATCTTTCAGACATTACATTCAAGGTACCTTAATAGTTTTCCTTGTTTTTCAGGCAATATAGCATGTCGTCTAGAAGCAGTATAAAGAAATAGCGTAACTTGCAGTCTGTTCCACAGTAGACACATTGAAGCGTGCTAGAAAAACTTGCCCTGAAACAGATAAGGAGAGTCTAACAAGTATGGTAAATAACACTGGATTTTCTTTCTTGTATTTTAAAATGTGGTCATTCTACGTGGGTCAGCTTTGGGGTATTTCCTTAAAATTGATCAAGCATTAAAGAGCTTGAGCGGCGTGCAGAGTAACAAGAGATGATAATGAGAGAGCTGCCTGTAGTAAGCATAGAAAGCCTGGTTTGTCATCCTGTTTGTTTGAGCCTTAAGTTACTTAACAGGAAAGCATGGAAAGCTTTCCCTAAAGTAGCTTAGAGGTTAACACAGGCTATAGGAAATGACACTCCTGTTTCTACTTCTGTGTCTCCTGCATTGGCCATGTAGCCCTGGGCGAGGCACGAAGCTACCAGTGCTTTAGCTCAGCCTTCACTTTGGGTATTTACTGACCATCCTATTTGGCTCAAACTGCTCACGGAGAGTTTTGTGATCCCTCAGTTTAGGCGATGTGCTTGTTACTGGCGTGTGACAGCAGTACTGCTCATTATTTAATTAACGCTAATCAAATCTTTGCAGCTAATCCAGTGTCTTTATTAGAAGAGGAAGATAAATTATTGGCAGGATGGCTACACAAATGCCTGCTGGTATCCCACTCTCAAGGATATTTGGTCATGTTTCTCAAAAGGATGAGGTCAGGACTGCCGCTGTAGCGTCACCCTCCAGATTAAGGACAGAAAGCCAGAACTTAGCCAGAGATATTGAACAGCTTCAGTGGCTGCCATCTTCACTTAGAAAACTCTGGTGAGTCAAAACAAACAAAATATTGTAGATAATTAAATATGCTGTCTTAAACAGCCCAGGCACTTCTGTAGGTCAGTCTTGAGGCATGGAAGAAATCTGGCTTTGTTTAAAAGAATTACCGCTCAGTCCGTAAGGAAAACGCACTGTGTTGCATCACTGTAAGAAATGATGAGGTCATTACCAAATGCAGCCTTTTTATTTGCTAGTGATTTCCTCCTATAAAATGACAGGCTTGATTTTGTCCATTAGAAGCTCATCATGATACTTCTGTCCTCCTTTGTTAAAAATTTTTCAGGAGTCCTTCACTGTGCTATAGAACTGAACTGAAGAAGTTTTCAAAGACTCAGATTTATCTTTAGGAAGTGAAAGCACTTTGCCCATGTGGGAGGGGAGCTCTTTGAGAACCCCTTTCTGCTTTGAGTTCCTCCTCAGCAGTTCGCGGGATCGTCCCTGGGACGCACTAAATGTGTCGTATAGCTCAGACCAGCCCCTTGATCTTAAAAAGAAAGAAGCTTTGGGGGAGCCCAGGGCGATGGCTTTTTGGGCAGTAAGTAGGGGCCAGGACAAGGCTGTGGTGTAAGGAAGACCCATTGCTCCTCACGTAGGGACAGGCAGGTCACATCTCCTCCACCTCCCCGAGCAGCGGGGAGGGCGGCGCTGGAGCCCCTTCTGCGTTGCAGCCATTCCTGTGCGGATGCAGCATTGCTGCTGCGCGGGTGCTGGTCTGTCACTCCGGTTTCACATTGTAAAACTCTTTTGATATAACATACTAAGTACAACTGCATTTTTAATAAAATACATTATGTCTGCAACCCCTTTTTGATGTGTGTCTTTTCATTTCGCATAGAAAAGTGTGTGTCCACATGTGTGCGCCTGCCTGACTGGAATATAGCGGTATTTTCCTTGGTGTTTCATTTGCCTACATGTAAAACCCCCTAATCCTCATACCTTTCTTTCTGGAGGTAAAGCTGGCCAAGCTTCCTACTCCTTAAGCCTGCAAACAGTCCCTGGGCTCCTGTTGGTGGTAGAAGCGGTGCTATATAGATCAGTAGTGCTGAACAGTGCTAGAAACTTCCCAAAAGTGCAGTTCCTGTCAAGAAAACCCAGTTTTCTATTGCCAGGAACCACTTCTAATCCTAAACAGGTTTGTATTTTTGCTGAAATAGGGCATTTGGACAGCGTGTTGAAACTCCTCGTGCGCTCTCAGTTGTTCCTATTCCAGAATGCCCACCCGAGTCGTCAAAACCAAATCTTCCGGGACGCTCGGCATTACGGCAAGAAGGTGATTCATCATTCCCAGGGTCTGGCCTGAGGTGGGCGCCCAGGTGATGGTCCCTGAAAGGACCCCAAGGGTGCTGGCACCTGGGCCCCCAGGAGGCTGGAGCAGCTTGTGGATCTGAACTTTGTTGTGGTTTTGTGTTTGTTTTGTGGTTCCAGACACAGGTGGGAGTAAATCTCTGCGTGTGAAGCTGTGTGGCTGGTGCTTTGAAAGCAATAGCAGCTCCAAGCTGCAGCTGTTTGCTTACTTTAGGACATTTGGATCAGTACCAGGAGGTCAAGTATGGCAGTACTTCATGTGGGTCAGTTGCATTTTGATTTCTTTGAGTTCAGGGTATTTTTTGGTAAGTGTTTTGATGCCAAAAGGCATCTTCTGTTGTAGCTCTGTAGGCACAGCCTTTGTCTCAGATACCCCTTCTGTGTTATTTTACCTCCTTCTCCCTGTTGCTTGTGTACAAAGGTGTCCTCTGGCTGCTGCTGTCAGGAACAACTTGGCACAGCACCTGTGACCAAATAGCTTTGCCACTTTTCAGGCTGGCAAATGTGCTCCTTTTCATGATCTGCAAATGCTGATGGCTGCAAAGAGTGGGAAAGGTAAGCTGGGTTTGCAGAGCGTTTATTGGTGTGATGTCCTACCATTAACCTCTGTGCTAAACGAGGCTTTAATGCTTTAACATAACTCCCATGGCATCGGGCAGCATTTGGTGAGCGCCTGGATGGCTTTGTGTTTGTCCTGGCCTCAGTACTGGGCTTGCCCGAGGGATTGGAGTGGAAGGAAGGGGCCCGAGATCCAAGCTCTGGCTTTGCAGGGACGGTAGTGGGCTCTTCAGGACTGCTGGGGGAGCTGTTGGCCATCCTTGGAAGGAGTTCCTCCAAGAGCTCCTCCTTCGCTTCTGTGCCCTTTCCCTTCTTTTTATTTCCATTTGCATAATCTTCAGTATTTTGCTATGCCTGAAAATTCAAATAACTTAGCAATGTGTATGCATGTGTTTTTCCTATTGGCTGTAAGCCCAGAAAGTCATGAAAAGCCAGTCAGATTTTGAAATATTACTGGGTTTGATCAGATTTTTGTGGTACCGCTTGCTTTTGTAATTGGGGTTTTCTTCCCAGAACCTGCTCTAGAAAGACACATACCTAAACTGACTGCAGGCAGGAAGCGCAGAGTCTTAACACTTAGTCGCTTCAGTGTTGGCTTTGGTTCCCTTTTTTACCATCTCTAAGTCAGCAGTGAACTGACCTAATGATGAATCTTGGCATTCAGATGGATTTTATGAGCTTGGAGGTGCCGAATGTGAAATTTAAGCCAACTGGGCTCGCTACAGTGGTCAAACCCTGCTCCTTATGTAAAGTTAGACTGTGCCTGGGTCCCTGAGATTCAATAAAAACTACTGAACTGTGTCAGCTTCAGACGTGTCACTATCTTGGGAAAGTCTGCTTGCTTTTCTTGCTACTGTTAGAATTCACATAGCAGGTTTTTAATGTTTTCTTTTCTCATCAGGGGTTATAGTCTTGGACAAAAGGATGGAGAAAGGAGAAATGAACCTCCTTCTAGTGCATTGAATTAGCCCTTTAGTAGAAGCTACCTCGAGTTTCTTTTTAAATGGTTGTGTTTGGTTTTCTGGATGCATCTTGAGCCCTTTCAGAACTTCTCAAGTTCATGTTTGTGTTTCCTCTTCAAATTTTGGTTTGCTTCGAGAAATAAATGGTCTATGCTTGCTTTTCACACACTCAAAATGGGTCTAACGGGCCATGTAGCAAAGGTTGACAAATAAAAAGAGGTGTAGATACTACATTAAGTATACACTGGCAGTAACAGAAAGGAACTATTCCGTAGACTAAGGCAGCAGAGTGAACAGTTTGCTCCAGTTCTGTTTCTTCCAACTGTTTCTTTGCTGTCAGACAGAATGTACTCATTAATGTTGTGTTGTAGGTGGATTGCAGATCTGAAGATATTACAGAAGAAGGAGACAGAGTTAGTATATATCCAAGCTTGAAGGGAAGATCTACTTAATAAAAACAGCTGAACTTGATATTGCCTTGTAGGAAAGCATAAGGTAAGCTGTGTTTATTTTCCTATGATTACCAGTAAATTAAGTCCATCATAAGAAAAGATTTGCCAGGTTATCCCAAACAATGAGCTCACAGTCGTTTCTGTGGTGCTGACATGGAAAGACATGTGGTGTTCATCTTGGTAAGCCACGCACGCAGATGTACTCGACAGACTGACAACTAGAGGCCTGTTTACATGCTAACTTTTAATTACAGTATAAATAAGTTCCCAACTCATAAACTAATCACAGATAATGCATTGTTGTATAAGCACATAAATACATGCCTGTCACATATCTTCAGGCAAGAAGGTGACTTTTTATCCATAAGCAAGGCTCGTTTCTACACCCTGCAGAGCTACTCATAAATCTCCCATGAGCATTTTGTATTTCAAGGTATTGTCCTGAAAATATCCCAGATCATCTGTCATGCCAGACCTCAGGCTCCAGTTTGTTTTCAAATAATCTGTCTTAGCTGGGGACCTTCTTTCAATAGCTCTGTTAGCTGTTCTTTTCTTCTCATTTTGGATTTGAGCATTCATGGGAAAGACCTGATTTCATTTACTTTAGTTACTATGAGTTTTTGGTAATTTCTGAATGAGTCTTAATGGTTCTAATCAAGGAAACAAGTCGACAACCACCCTTGTGCCCCTTGGCATGATCTCTTACCCTTTCTTTCTCTTTCCACTTGTCACTCTTCTAGCAATACTGAAAAATCTCTAAGGATCACACTTTACAATGCATTTGTACTCATTGGTCCTCTAAGCACTACTCCAAGTCTAATAAATAATAATAAATTAAAGGTATTGTTAAGATTATTTTGACTCAATAGCCAAGAAGCTCCTACTCTACAGTATGTGTGTGCAAGTGTGGAATTTTGGCGAACTCCTGCCGCAGTTTGTCCTCTTAATGTAGTAAATAAGATGTGCTAAAATACTCTATGACTAAAGTCCATTGGGTTGGTTGCAAGAGTTCCAGGTTCCCTTGCTGAGCTGGTTTGCCATGTGTTTCTGCTGTGGTCTGTCTGCATGATCACAAGGCTGATGCCCGTGTTGCTGTTTGAGCTTTCTTTTTCCACTGGAAAGGCTTCCTCACCTGCTTCTTCTGGGTACAGGAAAGCCGTGGGCTGTGGAGCAGGTTCCACATTAGCCAGATCTCAGCAACTTTTAGGCTGTGAACTACCATGAGATCTTTGTAAAAACAGGGGTCAAACGTCTGTAGATGTGGAGCAGCAGAAGGCTTGAGTATGCCGAAGGTCTTGAATCCTTCGTGCAAAATGGGTTTGAGATTGATTCTCTGTAAGCACATGCCCAAAAAGACGTCATCAATGGGAAATAGTTCTACCTCTTTGCAGGCAGTAGAGAGCTTCCTCATGGTGTGGCTGGAGAGCAGAAAACCTCCTCCTCCTGCATAGGCTGGATAGATGCTTAGCCCATACATGGTTTCTGGGATATAGTATTTACTCTTTCGGACACGGATGGGGCGGGCATTGTAGATGATGTCCCCAACAAAGAGGTCCTCAGTGGGATCATGTCTCTCAAGGAAGTCAACAATGTTCTCTACGTTGACAAAAACATCAGCATCACCCTTGAAAATAAATTTCACATTGGAGCAGAATTCAGCAGCCCAGTTTAGGAAATGGATCTCCTTCAGGGTCAAATTGAAGAAAGTATCCATGAAGTCCCAGAGTAAAATGTCCTTGTATGCCTGACTCTCCTGATGGATAAGGGTCTCCCATGTTGCTAACACTGTCCTGTTCTTTGGTGTTCCCAGGAGGAAAACTCGTTGGATCTGCTCCCCGTTCACCAAACCTTCCCTAGCCCAAGTCTTACGGACAATCTCGCGTCTGTCAAAGTCTTCAACCACCGATTTGATAGCAATGAGCAGAAAGGGACCTCCGGGTATTTTCCTGCATTTCTTGGGCTGGTTAATAAGAATGTTGAAGTTCCTGTTGTCTTTGTTCAGGAGATAACGCTTGAAGTTGAAGGAAGAATGAGTCAATGGTGGTGAAGTTGTAGTTTGGACCCTGCTACTAGCCAGTTCTGCTCGTCTAACCATAGGAATTATTTGGGGTACGGGAACTGTTGTCTCCACTGGCACAAGTCTCCCAGGTGCTTTGAGATCAGAGAAAACTCGCTGTGTTCCTGAAGGTTTCTTGGGTGTCAGCTCCTTGTTTCCTGCCGGGGCCAGGTGCTGTAGCTGGGAATAAAGTAAGGAGCCAAGTGCGACCACCAGGAGAAGGGTACAGATCGCATCCCCTTTGAGATGTACTTTCATTGTCTCCACTGTGTTGGTCGGGCTGTTAAAACATGTGATTGAGCTGCCTGGTGCCAATGTCCATCTGTAAATAAATGCACTGCATGTCAGCAAAGAGGAGTCAATAGCCAGGAAGTGGGTGAGACTAAGTAAAGTCCCATTAAAGGACTTTAAGTAGAAGGATATTGCCATTTTATTCATGCCAGCACAGAGACAGACTAACAAACTCGCCAAAAGACACATGAGTGGCAAATCGAGCACTGATCCCAGTGCACTGGCTATGACTTGGTTGGCTCTTAAGATGCTAAGAAGTCATCCAATGTCCTGAAAAACACTCCTTAAATATGATGCAAAGTCAGCCCTTCCTCCCATGCTTCTCTCTGCCGAGCAAAATTTGCTATTTCAGAAATTCCAGTACTTTGTGAAAAAAAGAGATGGACAATGCCATTCGCTTGAAAAAGAAAGAAAAAGAAAATCTAACAATTTTTGACTGTTAGATTTGACTCCTTTTACCCTTTTGGAATCAAAACAAATCTGGCTGCTGCAGGGAAGGCTGTGCAGTGACGGGGTGTTTAATTGGCAGCTGCTGGAGTTTTCCTTGCACACAGAGCCAGCAGGTAAACTGTGGTGGTTTATGCCTTCAATATGAATACATTAGGTTCATTCTTGCATGCATATAGGGGCCTTTCTCTGCTAGTAATACTTATGAATATTATGCTATCTTAAATAACTTCATTTTGTTAATAAGAACATTTGGTAGCCAAATGGCCCCTGATCAGTAAGCAAGAAGTGGACAGAATAAATCCTAATCCACAGAAGCTGTTGTGAAGCAATGCAAGATGAGTTTTAATAGGGTTTTATTCAGAGGCAAAATGAAGCCACTTTATGAAACATGAGATTTGATTCCTCACTTACACTTTCCCGGAGATCTTCTGTCTCAGTCAATTCTTCAACTGAAAAATAAAGAAGAAGAAAGTTATAAGAAGGCAGAAAGCAGCTTTGAAAAAGAGCCCATGGAGCAGGCCGGTCATGTGTCCAGCTGCACAAAGGCAGATCCTTTAATCTCTGCTGTTCATGTAGCCATGTTGGTTCCCACAACTAAGCAACTTCCCTATCCAAACAACTAGGTTTGACAGGGGCGCATGATGGTCCCTCCAGACTCTCAGGGAAATGCCTGTCTATTTATTTAAGCTTCACCTAAACCAAGGCAGGTTGCACTCCTAATCCCTGCGGCTCTTAGACAAGAGTGTTATTGTAACAGATCAGCTTCCAATTCAGACAAATCGTCCTTGAGTTCCTATATATACACTCATGGACATACACTATCTTACCTATACTGTATTAGAAGACGCTTGGATTTTAAAGTACTGCAGTTGTCTGACTTGTCTTTTTGTTTGACTTAGTTGAAAAGGCCGTATCCAACAGCTTCCAGAGCCAAGAACATCTGCTTGAACTGCAGCCTGTCTTCACTTAAGGCACACCCAGTACTTGATGGAAGACTGAAAACGGTGGAGAAACCAGCATATGTGGCTTGCTAGGTAAATTGCTCCTCTGTTTTCAGCCTATAGAGCAAGTCCATATAAAATATTTTGCATTTTCACTCCTACTTAGATGTATGTTTAAGTTACTATTGACATAGAGAGTATTTCATCTCACATGGTATCATTTATGCTTTTCCTAAGTGCAGCTCTAGAATAGTTAATGACCTAGTCTCCAGTATTACTGAAAATTGTATTGCAGCAAATGGCTTATTTGTGTATTGGTAGGATTCCTTGTGTTCCACATAAATTTAAAATCAGTTCCTCTTTGTCTTCCTGATGACCCTGTATTTCTCCTCAGATTCACTTCTTTCTTGCTGTTTTTTAGCCTCTAACAGATTTCCTTCTGTCAGTCAGACAAATACTTGCTGGATTTTTTGCCCCCATTTGGGGGATTTTTTTTTTACTGCGACTTTTGCCTCTCTTCTAGTGTATGCAATTTTTAAACTAGTATAGTTTTGATTTTAATTACAAGACTTTAGAGTTTTCTTTTTCCCTGGCTTCTCAAGGATGGTTGTGAAAATGCAAATAATAGAAGCTGTTTTCTGTTTGTGTGCTCTCTCCCATGTGACTTGGAGAGAATATTCTTAGCATTGGGAAAACAGTCTTTTCTAATGTGTAGATATTAGTTTGCCTTTTACATCTGTCATGAGCAAATTAGACTTGGCAAGCCATGATAACTGTGCTCTGTAACAACCTGCTATGTTCAGTTTCATGATAAATCACTCTTTATTGGTCAAGTGAAAGTTTACAGCAGGCTTTTCCTCATGTTGCCTTCAAAAACTATTCAGAAGCTCCAGGGATATAAAAGGATAGTACTGGCAACTCGGTACACTTAGAGCATGCACCTGAATTTGAATCACTAACTCCTGCAACGAGTCTCACTCCTGAGAGGGAGATTTTAGCTCAGTGCTATTCAAATGGGTACCTTTTTTTTTTTAAAAAAAAAAGGGATTTGTCCCAAAAAGCTCACAAGAACCAAAACTGTGGTGATTTTGTTACTTCCACCAAAGCAGCTAAACTAAGCAGCTTTGTCCCCAAAGTCTCCTGAGGGAGCAAGCTGCAGATGCCCTGGCATATTTGTGCATATCCAGTCGAGCTGATGCCGAGTGCTCTTTATAAAGTCTCATTTTCTTGTCCATTTTAATGGCTTTTTTTTTTCTTTTTTTTCTGTACAAAAGTATCATCGTATTTTAGCTACTAGACTCCAGATGGTGATTAAGGAGCTAGGTAAAGGTTTTGGCTCTTTGCTGTGTTTAATTGTATCAGCTAGGATTTGGAAGAAAAAGTGTGTGTCATGAAACTCATGAGTTCCGTGACTTACAGATTTATCCTGCCAGCATCTTAGAGTCTGGCAAGAAGCACCCTCAGAAAAGCCAAGAAAAACCCTGAATTGTTACATGCCTGGGCTGGTGGCCCAGATTTTCTTCTGTGTTTTCATTTATTGAAAGAAAAGGGTCTGAAATAGCGATTTCTGTCCTGAACTAAAACCGATTAGCGGTGAATAGAGACCTCTAGTCTTCAAAAGAAGTTGTGAGCACTTGAAGTGATGCCTTGATTGATTCTTCCAGGCAATATCAGATACTTCTGCCTTTGAAAGGAAATGCCCTTGATTATTGCACGGGTGTCAGCATCATTCATGGTTGTCAGTGTGGGAAAAGCTCTCTGTCCTCTTCCTGAATTGAGAGAGATTGATGATTCTGTCAGATATGCCGGTATTTCCTAGAGCCAGAGGGATTATTCATCCCCCTTCCACATCAAGGGAAAAAAATTCAGGGCTATCAGCGTGAGCAGAAATTATTTGATGCCAAACAAGATGCCTGAGGCCAGCAGAGCGTTTCTCAGCAGAGATTCTCGGTGTGGGGCTGCACCCGAAGCGCAGCGCCCCGGGAACTCGCTGGGCTGCTTCGCACGTGGCTGGGATGATGCAGGGAATCTCCGTCCAACTTGTGAAATGTAGCTGAGCTTATAAAGTTGCTGTATCACTCGATGCCTTGGTGAACATGGAGTTAGCTGCCAGGGCTCTCTCCGGCACTTTCTGAGCTAGGAGAAATTGGGCAGTTGTTGCTCCTCACTTGGCTCCCTGGTGATTCCTGCGGCAGGGGTCATCAAGTCTGAATGGAGAAACCAGACAGAGCATGAACAGGATGCTGGAATAAGGGAGCCTAGTGCTGGTGCCAGGAGGTGTAAAAGCAGAGGAGCTGAGAGGAGTGATGTGCTGCCGGAGACCCATGTTGTAATGGCTGGGCTGGCAGAGCGAAGCTGGAAGGGCAATCTGGATGTCTCAGTGCTCTCCTGTGCTCCAAAGGCAGCCCACAGCAAAGGTGAGCAGTCTCTTACCTCAAACAGTCTGTTTTGTGTTGTTAAGCCAAAGGTAATTCTGTTATGGTGCCTTTGCTCTGCGTACACCCTTGCCTCCCCACTCACCAACGAGGTTCGAGGGCTGGGCAGGTCATAGCACAGGCCAGGAGGTCCCATTTCAGTGCAAGGAGAGAGCCCATCCACCAGCAGCGTGCCAGAGGCACCAGCGGAGCCACGGCCTGCTTGGCCCAAGAGGTGATGAATCACACGAGCTCCAGCGCTTGGAGCTGGACACGGCAGCCTTGGTGAGCATCCAGCTGAGGGAATTCGACCTGGGTTGTTACACACATGGGCTGAGGGCCCAGTCCTCCTCCTGGTTCTCATTTATTTCAGAGAAGGACTCTGAAATACAGCCAAAGAGTGCTGAAATAAAAGCAGTTTAATAACTAATAGAAGTTTGATTAGAAGCAAAAAAAAAAAAAAAAAAAAAAGCTTTTAGTCTTTCAGCTGAATGATGCAAATCCTCAAGTTGATACTGGAAACATCTTTCTTTTGCAGGAACCAGGACATCTCTGTTACTTGGCAGGTACCATTTCAGCTCACACTTGTCCATGTGGGAAAAAATCTTTGGATCCTATTCCTGAAATGAGTCGAGAGGCCTTGATGGTTGTGGCAGATTGTTTCATTTCAAAGAGTGACTATTCAACCCCACTCAGCCTCGGGAACAGCAGCTGCAATATCCAAACAGCCTGAAATGTGGTGCATCAAATGGATCAGATGAACCCAGCCCGAGCCTTGCTGATATACAGCAATTAGGAGGCTCTTCTTTTCCATGCAGATCCAAGCCCTGCTTAGTGTTTGTATCCTGACACATCCCCAAGCAGGGAACTCGTCGGCCGCCCACCTTGCACGCGAGGCCCGGCTGGAAACTGGCCCGCAGAGCCTCCCTCCCCCAAAGCGGTGAGCGCGCGATTGCTCCCCCGGGCAGCAGGGTGGAAAAGAGCCGCCCTTGTTCTCTAGGAACAGGAGGTACCAGGAAGAAGCAATTAAATCAGACAAGTTTGGATAAACTCCGGATCCAGCTATGAACCAGCGGATACCACACGGTGATTCCTGGCCATGTGGGTGACTTGGACGGGCTTCCCCCCAGAGCCCCAGGACAGGGGCTGAGTGCAGGTTGCTGTGAATGTGGGAGATGCTCTGACATGGAGCTTCGTCGTCCCTGCAAAGTGGGGAGGATAACCCAGTGCTGGCTGCACTGCAGTTGCCTTTGGACAGGCACTGTGTAAAGCAGCAGACCCAGGGTTGGCGCCTGACGGTGTGTCTGGAGTCTCTCCCAAGATGTCCTGGCAAACTCCCCTGCCATACGTCTGCAGCTCGCTGAGAGCCTCCTGTACCTCTTTCCAGAGCTGAGTGCCAGGCAGAAGAGGAGGTGATTTGTTTCCCTGGGTGTTTGACTTCTACAAGGTGAGGGTGGATTGATCTCCTGACCCCGGTGGGACTGGGATATGACCTGCCTGCCACCAAAGCCTGATCTGGGAAGACTTAGAGCCAAGCTCCTTGGACAGAAACTACTTCATAATGCACCAGGGTCTCTGTTCAAAAAATATTTCTTTATCTCCCTCCCAATTAGGTGATACAGTACAGAATAAGAAGCTGAGCTTTATTGTATAACAGGAGGCCAGCAACCACTATTAGCAAAAGGTTAGTTCCAGCTCCAGGGAAGAAGTCAGATATGTAACGTCCAGTCTTGCTTCTGGGCTGCTGGGTGAGACCAAGGATCAGCCATGGGACCCCCTGAGACACGATCCCCTCTGGGATCTCTCCTCCACTGAGAAGAGCTGGAAGCTTTTCCATACGAAGCCTTTGCATATGAAATCCACGTGCCGTTGCTTGTGTCCTGGCTCAAGGAGAGACTACCCAGTTTTCCATGATTTCTGGCCCGTGTAGCTGTTTGAGAGTTACCAGGACTTGAGCAGCTGCTCACATCAAGCATCTGAGCATTGCCAAGGCTCCGGGAATGGCAAGCTCCACTTCTGCCCTCCCGATCTCCCCTCTGCTCCGTGCGTCCGACGGGAGGAGCAGTTTCGCTGGCCTCCTGGTGCGGGGACTGCCGCCATGCTCGGTGAAAACGTGGCCGCCATCCCCAGCACGTGGCACGCGGCGGCGCTGGCCCCTCGCCAGCCCCGCGGCCCCTCGGAGCGCTGAGCACTTCCTTGCCATGTGGCTCTTGGCTGCGGTTCAAGACCGCGCTGGCAGCGCAGCCCGGGGCGCTGGGAGGAGCTGGCGGCTGCGACGGGGCTCGCAGACAGCAGGCTCCGGGGTTTCAAACACCCGCTCGCCCGGTCCTCCTCCTTCTCCAAGCCTTGGATGTCCCTCCCTCCTTCCCTCTTTGCCAGTGGAAATCCTGAGCAGCAATGGCGAAAGCCCCGGAGCCGGGCAGCGCTTTCCAGGCCGGAGCCTGGCCCACACTCCCAGGGCGCCCCACTCACATCAGGTCTCCCACCCTTCCTATTCCTTTCTGTCCATCACTGCTTCAGCCGGAGAAAGAAATCAAGCCCCTATTTACTAGCACCGCTCCCAAGCGATGCTGCTGTTCCCAGGCTCTGTCTTTTTGCTCTATTTGAGCTGCGTTGAGTCACCATCCCCTCTCACCCTCAGAGAGATCTGGAGATAGCACCAAAGCAAAGGGCTTTGTTCAAGCTTAACGTTGCAGCTCTCTTGAAAGCAAGGCCTGGTGTCTGTCTGGCACGGTATATAACCAGTTTTATTCTTGCATGGTTTGTTGTATTATTTTTTCCTCCAGGCAAAACCAATAGCCTCATTCAAGCTGATAAAATGTGGGTGGCCTTGGCACAAGGATGACTTCTGCCCCTGTGCATGAAAGGGGATTTGCGGAGAGGTCCCAGCTGGAGCGAGGGAATGACGGAGCAGCGTCGGACAACTTCATCTTGCTGCCCAGAGGACAAGCCAGGCTGCAATGCAGGCAACACCCCTGGCACGTTGCTCAGTGCAGAGCCCCAGGGAAATGGAGCAGCAAAAGCAACTGCTGCACTGGCTGACTAGAGCCAATGGCCTGTCCTGCTCAGATGTTTCAGAGTCTATAAACCAACTGAGAATAAGCTGTAAGATTTGATTAGTAAAGTGGTCTGAAAGAGCTTTCCCAGGCATCCAGAGTCTCATCCAAGGCTGAACAAGCACAGGGCAAGGACAGGGGTGCACCTGGGCTCTGCCAGCTCCCCAGAGTCCCAACCCTGCTGTAGGAGTGAGTGCTTTGGGGTCCCACCACGCAGCAAACCCCAGCCCTGCACAGAGCAGCGCCGTTGTGCTTGTACTGCAGCCACCCGATGAAAAAGCTCTGTTAGCTGAAGCCCTGCACAAACAGGTAACAAAAACACACTGCTTGCTCCAAACACCTCTTCCAACTTTCCTGTGCAAGCTGCTGCTCAGGCCAGTACAAACAAATACCTTAAATCCGTGCCGGTACAGAGGGGGATGACTTATTGCTTATGGATCTCTCTGTCTGCACCGGGCCCCAAATATGCAATTGCATTAGACAAAGTCTCCCCTGTCTCCTCTTGGCTCACCCAGCCTGGGGTTTGCAGCGCCGGGCACAGGTTAAACAACTGCTCACAGGCTGGTGTTCCTCCTGCCTCCTGCTCGCCCACGTCCGGGCAGACGGAGCTGTTGCAAAATGTGAAGCCTGAAACACCAAGGAACTGCTACATGAAGGCTGCTGCTACCCACAAAGTGCACTGATGTTGCTCAGGCGTAGGACGCTTCCTAAATCCAGATGCAGGCTTGTGTGGAGACATCCCGATTTCCAGGACTATGGAGCATTCAGCATCTTTTAACCCACATCCTCAGGATTCTGGAGAGACAGGCGCTGTGGATACCGCTGCATGCATCACGAGGAGCCTGCCCCTCTTTTGCAAACTTCTTTTTCCTGTGAGCCCCAAAAAGGGGCTTGCAGCTAGGGAAGGTGTAAAGCCCTCCATTCCCTGGGCCTCCCCATCTGCAGGTCTCACTGCCAATCTGATAAATTGGCAACACAAAATTGTGCATTTGCTTACATGCCACTAAAAAAAGCAGCAATTAAAATGTGTTAACGTGGAGGTAATTCATTCTGCATCGCTCCACTCATTTCGAGCTGGTACCAGAGGTATAAATCTATCGGGATTGGACTGAAAGTTATTTAGAAATTGAGATAAGTCACTTCTGATTTCCCTAGAGCTGAACCTTTTTCTTTCTTTTTTTTCTTTTCACCATGCTATACTTAAAAATTCCTATGCGTTTGTTTAAAGCACACAACAGTGTAACTCGGTGGGAAGAATTGCGTCCCTTTAGCAGAGCCTCTTGCACCGCAGCGTGCAAGGAGAAACTGCAGCCTGCATGGGGCCCTGGAGCCGCTCCATGCACGAGCCCCAGGCCCTTTTCTGGAAAGAAAACAGCATAAAGCACACAGAGCGAGTTCTTTGCAGAGCAAGTTCTTTGCAAAGTAAAATATGAGCTGCACGTAGCGGGCCAGAAGCTGCCTATGCAGAGCCCGTGACTGACTGCACCGCATGGGAACGACTGTAACTTGTTGCGATGTGGAGTGGAAGAATAGGCAAGCGGAGCGCTGGAAAAGCCTCCGGCTCACACAGCTCCCAGCAGAGCTGTCCCCGCCGCGGCCGGGCGCGCTCGCCGTGTACTCACATGCAGCGGGTTCGAGCGGGTGCCGCGTCCCCTCGGCCGCGCTGGGGGCTGCCAAGCGGGCGCATCTGGAGCTCGTCAGCGGCCGACATTCCCTCCGCACGAGCGAAAGGGGCCGCGGGCTCCCCACGAGCCGCGGTGTCCCCCCGCGTCTGCCTCGCGAGCGGACGCGGTGCAAGGGGAAGCGCTGGGCTGGGGGACGGAGCTGGGTTCATTCCCAAGCGCCGTCATGTGACGCGCCGGGGCCGCCGCTCGCTGCCGCGCTCGAGGTCCCAGGAAAGCGGCAGAGCCGGGATGGAGGTTCCCAACCAGCTGAGACGGAGGCTCCCGACCCCCCACTAATGCTGTCGGTGCTCAAGCCCAGCAAAGCCATGGGCTTTAGGAGTTAAAAAGAACGATGACAAAAAAGACAATAATTTTATCGTGGCTTTTCTCCTTTTTTTCTTAACAGGAAATGCACTGATTTTTCTGACCTCACCATCAAAACAATTCTTGATCCACTCTGTTGAGCTGGTCTGAGTGTTGCTTTTGAAAACATCCACGTGTTATATACATCGTGTAAACACTATTTTTTGTAAGTATCAGTGATTTTTATAAGTCTGTTTTTTGTTTCAGACCCCGCTTTCCATTCCTGAACACACTGCTGCCGTGTGGAGCTGAGATCCGCAGTTTTCCGCTGAAGCCCCCAGAGCCTCCTCCCGGCGGGTAAAGCAATTTCCTTCTCAGCTGCAGCTGTTTGAAATGGAGCTGCTGCCTGCCAAGTAATGCAGCCCATCAAAACCCGCGGCCGGACGCGTTGCTCAGCCTGATGCCTTCCCTCTGATAACCAAAGGGACCTTTTCTCTTTATATCCGCAGCAGCCTGAGGCTGCTTTTCATTCCTTCTCCCTAAGGAGGCAGATGGAGGTCCAGGAGCACAGCACTGTCGCCAGATGCTTTGCCATGTTTCCATCTGGAAGGTCCGGCCATACCGAGAGGACGACTGCTCCCCAGCATCCCCATCCCACACAGCATCACACAGCAGGTATTTCCACCAAGTTTTCTGGCTCGGGTTTTGGGACCTTCTTACCCTCCTGCTTGCTGGTGGTGGTGAACATGGGGCTTTCCATCACACGTTCCCAGTCCTGATGCAAAATTCCGCCTGCTGCTCACACAGGGGCAAGAGATGATAG